GCCTAAATAAATAATAAGTAAGTGTACTGTAAAATTGTTTTTATCACAAATATTAGGATTTGGTGTGATAGTCATAAAAGCAGTCCTTTGGGTGAAGAGCTACGTTGCACTTAACACACATAAAGTTGGCCTTTTTGTGGCATACGGTGCATCTTGTTTGATTTTCTTTATATTTGATGAGATGGCCTGCTCCGTCATATCGGGAAAATTCATGGAGATTTTTGGATGTTTTTGAATGTCCCCTTTTGGTTGTTCTACTGAAAGTTTCCAATAGTTCCGTTGTAACAGATCGTCGAAATGCCAACTGATCTAATTTTCCACCATTTTTTTTGTGCAGGTACCACGAATTTTGTACACTCATATCAATAGTATGGCAAAACAGAGAGAAGTACCATTTCTTCCCGCGAATTGAAATTCGGTATTGGCCGATGTTTTTATCACTTCGATCAACTCCTCCCATATTAGCGTTGTAATGTTTCACAATATTTGGCTGATCAACATAAATATGTTTTTTGTGTGATTGTGAAAACCGTTTCGCTCTTTCTAAGCATGTCCTCCTGTGTAGCTTCCCGGATCGGGTTTCTTAAAGTATTCAGCTACTTTTCGTGGGATACTTCCAACAGGGTTATTTACGCATTTTCCTGTTCTATATGCTACAAAAACCTACTGTTTGAGAGGGAGGTTGACTTAATTTGCTTATCTTATGTATTATTTGAAGTTTCTATAAGTTGTAGATAATTCTGTGTCTAAATTGAGAGGGTGTGTTCTATGGAATCCCGGCGATTGTTGCCAAAGTTTTTGATTGCCGAGAAGGTGTTGAATGAGCAACCGATAATCTCTTCAAAGGTGAAGTTGGGTCAATCACCGCCAGTCAGTAAGAAAAACACGCTGCTTTTGTCTCGGATGATTTCGACAGCTGCTCGTTTTGTAATGAATGCCCGTTGGATGTCATCATAATGGTCGGACGTGGTTGCGATGTACTTGGTGGTCAAAACTAGAATGGTTTGCCGCTGTTTTCTTGGCCACTAATAAACTGGCCCTGTGGGGCCGGCGAAAGAATTTCCACAGGGAAAGATAGTGAAGTGGAAGGACCACTTATTTCATTATCATTGACTTTATCAGTTTCTAAAGTAGACTCTTGTGGGGCCTCGCTGACTTGTAATTCTTCATTTGAAATTGGAACTACAGTTTCTGGAGGCGTTGTTTCAAGAAAACGGTGAAAGTCTTCATTTGGCAAAGGTATGTTAGTGGTTTCTGCAGGCTCATACATGTGGTCAGGAAATATATGTGGATTTAGTGGCCAGAGACCGGTATTTTTAAAGCCGTTGCAAGCATTCTGAACTGTTGCAGTTTCCCCATAAGCGTGATTGAATAATGAGCCGATTTGTAAGTGTGTAACGACGCGACCTGGATGCGACTTCAGCCACTTCGAAATTTCTTGGTTAAAGTAGGTTTTTAAGGGTCCGTAAAACCAAACATCTAGTGGCTGCATGCGGTGCGTACAGTGCGGTGGTAGGCATAAAATATCAATCCCATTTTCTTTTGCATAGTTTAAAACTTGAAACCCCTTGTGACTGCCATGCCCATCGACGATCAGCAGAACCTTATCTTCAACACTTGCTTTGACGTAGCTCTGAAAATGTTACAACCATTTTACAAATACGTCCGTAGTCATCCAGCCTGATTCCTGTGCGACTCCCGGCGTGCCAGTTGGTGCTTCGTCCACAAGCTCTTGTTTCATATTTTTTCTCAGAAATATCATACATGGGGGTATGTATGAGCCAGCTGCATTAAAACAACAAACAACCGTAACATTCGATCCACGCTCAGCACTAGTCAAACAACCCACTTGCTTTCTACCAGTGGTGGCTAGAATTTTTGGAGGCCTTTGAACCGTCGAAAGACCTGACTCATCCACATTGTAAATCCTGTTTGGTGCATATTTATGACAAGCTAGTAGCCCATCATATGTGTTAAAAAATTTTTCGACCTGCGGTCTGTTAAAGGCTTGCGCTCTCGCCGCTGAAGTGGCTTCTGGTTTGCGCAAGGAAATATCTCTATTTCGTTTAAGAAATCCATTTAACCATTCCTGTCCAGCTTTTTGCTTGTCTATATTAAATTTATGTGCAAATCCGTTTTTGTTTGCTAACTGGAACGCAAGTTCTTGAACTTCTTTACTAGTCAACCCAAAAAGACCGAGTTTCCAGGAACTTCAAATGCTCAACGAACTGCCGTTCAATGTCAGGTGGGAAGGTTACTGTGAATCTTCCTTTGGTGTTACGTTTTATTCTTGTTTAACCCATGCCTTCGGAGAGTAGCTTGAGGAACACCATAGGTTTTGGCGGCTAATAGCCAGCCCATTCGTTTTTCCCGAACAGCTTCAATTGCTTTTTGCATTGACTCCTGACTCCAAGATTGTCTGTTGGTTGTGCGTTTATAATTTCGTGGCATTATCAATATCTGCACAAAAAATGGGCATCATTACATTTCACACCACTAGTAAAATTTAATAGTAGGGGAGCTAGCACGAAATCCACTGAACGAGAATGATCAAAATTTTAACCGATGGAGTTCCATTTTGCCCTATCAGAGTATGCTAAAATCGATCGTCTGCCGCCTCAGGTCATATGACTTAAGGCGCTGCGGGTACTTCTTGCGGTACCAATTCTGAAAGGTTGTTTTTCGAGAAAATAAGTTATACACCAAATGAAAACGTTGATAATAGCTCTTAAAAAAATATTTAAAAAAATCGCGCACATTTGATAACTCCGTAAAAAAACAATTCTTAGTCGGTTTTTCACGAACTTTCTACGGATATAACTAGGTTACCGTTGGAAGAATGAAGCTGATTTTTTTTACAGACTAATGATAGGTACAGCCAATGACTATGAGAGTGTTTCTTTTTTAAATTTTTTCTCTAATTATAAGATATCTTATAATGTTAAGATAATAAGATAATCTTGTAATTAGAGAAAAAATTTAAAAACGAAACACCGTTAAGTCATTAGTAGTACCTATCATCAGTCTGTAAAAAAAATCAGCTTCATTCGTCCAACCGTAACCTAGTTATGTTCGTAGAAAGTTCGTGAAAAACCGACTAAGAATTGTTTTTTTACGGAGTTATTTAATGCGCGCGATTTTTTAAAATATTTTTTAAGAGCTATTATCAACGTTTTCATTTGGTATATAACTTATTTTTTCGAAAAACAACCTTTCAGAATTGGTACCGCAAGAAGTACCCGCAGCGCCTTAAGTCGTATGACCTGAGGCGGCAGACGATCGATTTTAGCATACTCTGATAGGGCAAGATGGAACACCATCGGTTAAAATTTTGATCATTCTCGTTCAGTGGATTTCGTGTTAGCTCCCCTACTATAATGAATGGACAAAATGACATAGTGTGTTTTGTGCGCAGTGTAGTATGTCATTATACCCGCACACCAGTCTCGGCAAATAAATTTAAAAAACGAAGGTCATGATGGTCGAATTTGTTAAATCGCTTAATGAATATTCTAGCTCATGCATTAGTGATTTTGGCTAATTACAGCTTTGTAATTATAAAGTTCAAAAACTCACCAAATATCCAGGGAAAAACACACGGACAGAAAACTTTTGTTAGCCGGGAACACCTTTACCTCAACTGCACCGTACTTAACTAAGTGGTGTCCACTACGTTTTCACAGTTTGGTATATTATGCATGTAGATGTCGCTACTACACTGGTTGTTGCGGAGCAGACCGCCAATTTTGAAATAAATGCAGTGTGTCATTTTACGCGTGTATGTCATTTTGTCCATACTTCCCCTACGCACTTACCAGATCAGTAAGGAAAACACTGTTAACTCGACGACGAGACGACTTACACTTGACTAATTAGTAGCAGTTTTTGTGAAGGGAATGCTTCAGAGAAATTGGCGGTACATTCAAATATGTCTAGGAAACTAGAACTAAGAAAGTTGTTGAACGAAAATTTTCATGTGAGCCCTCTTCATCTTGTTATATAGAAAATAACTCGAAATTGTCGATAATTGGGACAGTGTCGATAATTGGGACATTTACCTTAGGGCGGCCGTACACGGACTGCTCGAGCAGTTAGCGGCTGAGCGACGTACACGGACCGCTCGAGCGGTCGGCGTCGACTGCTCGAGCGGTCGGTTGTTGGCTGCTCGAGCTACGCTACCAACCGCTCGAGCAGTTGATTTACCACAGTCGAGTCAATGGATTCTGGCGAGGAAGCACTGCTTCTGCTCAAGCGGAGACGACGACGGCGGCGACGTCAAAAGAGAAAATTTTGGGTTCATCCAATTTTGGAATTAAGAGAACAACATGGACAATTCCATCATTTGTTTATGGACCTTAGAAGTGATGAAGAAAAATTTTTCAACTATTTTAGAATGTCAATCACTTCGTTTGATGAATTGAATAATATACTAAAATCTAAAATTAAACGTGAAGACACAATTATGAGGAGAAGTATCCAACCAGAAGAAAGACTAGCAGTAACATTGAGGTTTGAAAAATATATACCTAGTAATTATTTAAATTTTTATTCATTAAAAATATTGGAAATGACATCATCGGACAATACTGAAGATGATGAAAGGTCTTCAAATTGAGAATTTTGGTCATCAGCCACTGATGTAGAGGGGCCAGACGCTGATCTAGAGGGGCCAGGCACTGATGTAGAGGTTGAGGGGCCTGTATTATAACCCCATTGTCCTCGGTAATCATTAAACGATGAATATTGTGATGAATATCCCCTGTCACCATAACTCGAAGGATATGTGTGATTTGTCATCCCTTTAAGGTATTTCATTACGTTAAGTATTTCTGTCTTAGCATCTAATTTATACTGCTCATTCATTTTTTTGAATTCGCTTACTAATGATAATAAAAACAATTTATCTTCATCTTCATTATCAATGCGCGAATTCTGCGATTTTTCATCGAAGCGTTTGGATAATTTTTCAATTAAGACGTTCTCATCTGTGATTGTAGTAGTTAATTTTCCTTTGTTTCTTTCTTTATTTTATTTTGACGATTTTCGCTTTTTTCGGACGTAATTTCAGCGTGCTCACTTTCTTGTAAACTGTTTGTTTTGTCGGGTCTATCTTCTATTATTGCCTTTAAAAAAGACATCTGCTGATAATATGCATATGGCCGAATGTTGAGGGCTGCTGAACCACTCTTTGGTTTAATTTTTTTAGCATATCTGGTGTACCCATCTCTTAATGTTTTCCATTTTTTCTGTATTAACATGGCTGTAACAACAAAAAAATATTTATTAGTATAATTGATTGATCTAAAAATATGTTTTTACAGGTATTTGGCAACTGGATGTACATTTATGGATTTGCAATATAGTTTTAGAATAGCATCAACAACAATAGGTAAGATAGTGAGATGTTTGCAGAAATATATGGATACATATGAAGGATATGTGTATGGAACAACTAACTGAAGATAAATGGAAAGACATAATAAATCGTTTCAAACAAACTGCTAAGTTTCCGAACTGCCTCGGTGCCGTTGATGGCAAACATATAAGAATAATACAACCCGCGCAAAGTGGATCGGCATATTATAACTGTAAAAATTATTTTTCGATAATACTTCTAGCAGTATGTGATAGTAATTATATGTGATCACTTTCAAGGATATAGGCTCATATGGAAGGCACGCTGACTCGGCTATTTCCGAAGAGAGTTGTCTATATAAAATGTTACGTGAAAAAAAGTTAAATATACCTCCACCTTCTACAATATCACAAAATGGACCTTTATTACCGAATGTGTTTATTGGGGATGAAGCGTTCAGCTTGCAGGAAAATTTAATGCGTCCATATGGTGGCAAGAATTTAGCAGAGAAAAAATTAATTTTTAACTATCGGTTATCACGTGCGAGGCGATATATTGAATGCACGTTTGGCATATTAGCTAATAAATGGCGGATCTTTCATAGACCACTTAACGTCAGTGTTGATTTCGCAGTGGATATAGTAAAATCATCATGTGTTCTTCACAACTACGTAAAACAACGAGATGGAAATAAATTAGAGGATACGTTTGAGGGTCTTCCTCATTCTATAATACATTCAACCCAGCAAGTTCGTCCAGGTGGACCTATGTTAACAACAATCCGTGAAGAATTTGCTAATTACTTTGTGAGCGAGGAAGGCAAACTAGATTGGCAATGGAATATGATATAAATCAATAAATATGTGTGTGACTTTATAATATGACATAAACAATAAATGTGCGTGTAAAATGACTGACTTTTTTACTTACCGACTTGATTTTTTTCTTGAACTGGTTTTTCATCAAAGTTCTCAATTACTTGGGCGCAAATAATTGCCCATGCATTGTTCTTCTTTATTTTGTCGCTGTGTTCCTTAAGTTTATAGTTCCAAATAAGTTCTTGCGTTTTAATTGCACTAATAAGCGCATCACTATCGCACACGCCCTCCATGTTCAAAGATCAGTTGACAAATGAGACGAGCGAGACAGACAGACGCCCCGAGGCCACAAGGGACGGGGGGGAGGGGGGAGATCGGAAAGCTGTCGACTGCACTGGCGGCTAGCGCCAAGGATTCCACTTTGGCTTTCACATTGCGCGCATGCGTACATACATTATTTTGCTTTTCAATTTCAACAGTTACCTTAACCCTAGCCTAATAGTTTTCCGTGGTTGTGTTTTGTACGATTTGGGTTTTTATTATATTTAAAAATGAACAGTACTAATATTTGCAAACTTTGCAACAAATTATTTGGCGAACGCTATAACTTGAGAGCGCATATAAAAAAATTTCATCCAGGTAAGAAACACCATTTCTTATCTATTCGAAACATAAGAAAACATGTAATTAACGTTGTAGATAAATTGGAAGAGTTAGCGCCCCTTAAGACTTTTAAAATTGGCGCGGTATGCAATGAGTGTGATAAAACATTCGTAAAATATTCCAGTTTGACTCAACATGTAAAAAAATATCATAACGGTAAGTCAGTAACAAAAATTAATGCAGTCAAAGTTCAAGAGTATTTTTTTATATCTTATTTTAGATAAATTATCTCAACTCACCAAGTCAAAGAAATACCTATTTGAATGTGAAAAGTGTCAAAAGCATTTTACACACTTTCGGCATTTTAAATATCATAAAAAAATACATGAGGAAAAAAAAACTAAGGGCCTAAGATGCATTTTGTGTAAACAAGAATCTGATGCAGAGTGTTTTACCAAACCTGATTTGTTTAAACATTTTAAAATAAGGCACGATGTTGATATAATAACTGAACAGCTATACTTTACCAGTTTGGAAGAATTTAAGACGTGGAAAAAGGAAAAAGAAAAGCAATCGAATGAATTATTTGTAAAACCATATGGAACAGACAAAAATAAAAAATTCACTACAACAAAATATAAATGCCACCGGTCTGGATTTTACAAAAGCAAGGGAAAACATTTACGACATTTAAAAACACAAGGCTCAAAAAAAATTAATGGATACTGCCCTGCAGAAATGTCTGTTACAGAAATTGATGCAAGATTTGAAGTTGAATATGTTAGTACGCATGTAGGGCACACCAGTGATTTAGGTCATCTAACTTTAAATGAAACAGAGCGGAATAAATTGGCTGTCCAAATTGCAGCTAAAATTCCATTCGAAACAATTTTAGATGAGGTTAGAGAATCCATTAATGGTACTTTGGAAAGATGTCATCTTTTAACAAAGAAAGATTTATATAATATAGAAAGAAGTTTAAACCTCAATAAAGAAGCTCGTAGACACTGCAATGACGCAATCAGTGTAGATGCCTGGGTACAAGAAATTAGAAGTACTGGATGTGTTTTATTCTACAAAGCTCAGGGAGAATGTTGCACTGACTATCCTCTACTAAACAATAACGATTTTGCATTGGTAATTATGAATCAAGGTCAGCATGAAATGTTGGATAGATATGGCGATGATTGTATCTGTATTGATGAAACGTTTGGGTTTTAACCTTATCACAATAATGGTATTGGATGACATGCGTGAGGGATTTCCATGTGCTTTTCTAATTTCAAATCGAGCTGATGAACATATGATGCGAATATTTTTTATGTCTGTTAAAGAAAGCTTGGGTAGATCCTTAAAATCAAGTGTTCTTATGACAGATATGGCTCCAGTTTTTTATAATGCCTGGATTGAAGTTATGGATTTGCCTGTTCACAGACTCTATTGCACATGGCATGTGGATAGAGCTTGGCGTAACAATTTATGCAAAATATGTTCAAAAGAAAAGCAGGTATGTTAACCGTAGGAAAGGGTATACAAAATCTAACTTTTTTTTTAAATTATCATGAGTATTAAGCATCTTGTTCTTTTTTTCATGCACGTTGGCTCGTTTTAGTACTACTTGTCACTATTTTCTTTTATTTTAGGTGGCCGTGTATAAAAAACTGCGCACCTTACTTCAGGAAACAGATAAAAATGCGTTTTCGGCGATGATTAGTAACTTTTTAAATAATTTATTAGAAGATCCGGACACTACAAATTTTGGTCAATATTTCCATAAGTACTATGCAAAAAATGTTGATTCGTGGGCTTATTGTTACCGTATACATTCTGGTATTAACACCAATATGCATATAGAGAACATGCACCGTAGCATTAAATATATTTATTTAAATGGGAAAGTTAATAAACGACTAGATCAAGCTATATATATTTTGATGAAATTCGTTAGGGACAAATTATTTAATCGTTTAATAATTTTAAACAAGGGAAAAATTTCCACAAAATTGAAAGACATAAGAGCAAGACATAAAACTAGTAATGCATTAAATGTTGATGTAGTAGTAGTCAATGAAACTGGTTGGATGGTACCATCATCATCCACACAAGATCTGTACCAAGTTGAGAAAAGGCAAAAACATTGCAATTGCAAGTTAATCTGTTCCTACTTCATAAGTATTCGTGCTCATGCTTAGACTCTTCAATTAAATGGAACATGTGTAAACACATACACCTTATATGCAAATTTTTGAAAACTCAAAATGTTCATGCCAATGAAAACCAGGATGAAATTATCCAATCTGTAGGTAAGTCTACCTAATGGTCAAAATTTTAAATTTGTTGGTGGCTAGTAAGAATTGATGCTGCATTGTCATTTGTCATTCGTTAAACGAAAGCGCATTTTTGGATTTTACTGCTTAACGAAGTTACCTTTTTTTCTAGATGACATGCCTCATTTAACAATTGACGAAAACTTTAACCCCCAAGAAGAAAATACAATCATCCAGGCACTCTCCAAATCAAAGAGAAATGGAAATGAGAAGTTTATAAGTGAGAGAGAGAAATTTAAGTTTGAATTGTTAGAAACTGTCAACGGCCTGGAGTGTTCTGAAGAGTTAGACATAGCAAGAAAAGCATTAGCTCCTCTTATCCCTACTTTAACAGCATTCAGGAATTTAAAAAACAAAGAAGTTTGCAAAGAAAATCAAAATATACCCCATAATAAAAAAATTCCCCAACAACGGCGGCTGTTTAAGACAAAAAAGAAATGTATACCTAAAAAAGACAAGACAGCCAAACCAGATAGTGAAGAAGTTAATAAAATTGCATTAAACATGTTACAATTTTGAATTAAATATCTTTATTATGTATTTAGAAATATTGAAACAATTATGTACTACCTATGTATGAACTACTTTATATTATTTGAATATTAATGCAATAAATAGTTTTTGTCGCGTGCTGGTTGTCGTATGTATCTACTATTTACTAAAAGGTTTCTATTTAGAATTCATTCTTGTATGCAACAAAAAAGTCTTTAGAAACCTTTTTTCTTGCAGGTACCGTTGTAAATTGAAAAAATGGAAAAAATAGGTACAGTTTTTTTAGTGTAAGCTGATCCTGTACAGCCATAAGTGTAATTACCGAGCATTTAACAATATCGCCAAGTCGAGGCATTTTGTATTCTTCCAAATCGAGAATTCAATGTTGAACAAATCAAAATGACAAAATGTCATAATGTAACGTGAATCTAAACATTATTGAAAATAGTTTACTTGATATTACGGCTTATCCTATTTTTTTGTCCACGACAGTGCCTATCGGATCAATTTAATTACCTATCCATTTTGAAAACTGTGTAATCTTTTAGCTATGGCAATGCAAGTTCGTAGTTCAAATATCTGCGCGAAAAGTTAGCGCCTGCGCACAATGTGAAAGCCAAAGTGGAATCCTTGGCGCTAGCCGCCAGTGTCGACTGCTCTAGCGCAGTCAACGGTCGCGACCGCTCGCGCGCGGTTGACGGCACGATGGAATTTCGTCATGCAGTTGACGGCAGCGAATGAATGACTATAGTTCACCGCGCGGTCGCGGCTTTAAGCAGTCGGTCTCAACTGCTTGAAGCAGTCCGTGTACGGCCGCCCTTACTTAACAGTGCGCAGGGGTTTTGTTAATTCGATTCGAATTTAAAATTCTCGCACATCGCCCGTGATGGTATTACAAGCATGTTACGCCGCTTATTATTCAGAAAGTTTACGTTCCGTTTGAATAAGGGTTATTTATGGCTTTATAGGTTATACGGTTATTATTTCCAATATCTCCGATGGTTGCAAGGATTGCGAAATCTGATGTGAATTTTTTACATGAAGCGCGCTTTCTAAAGTACATAGCTGCTGCAAAAACTGTTTTTCCAAAACCATCTGGACGGTGTTGCCAGATAATGTAAAATAAGAAATACTTACGTGGAGATTCCGCTCATGTCCAAAAATTAGAATTCTTCCGGGAACTGGTGCATTGTCAGCTAGTAAAAAATCTTCCCGAATCCCGGGCTGTGTAAACTTTATATTCGTCCGGTATTATTAAATCCTCTACTATTTCGGGTGCAGGAGGGATGATCCATGGCTTGCGTGGGCAACTTCCGATAATTCTCCAATGCAAGCAAAATTGATAACTTGTGCCGTTGTTTCCATGACTTCTCCGGCCCTCTCTTTTATTCTAAAAACTGCTGCCTGGACTTCAACTTTTGCCGCCGAACTGTCATGAGAATGGTCATTGACTTTTTTAACGACACTACCGTCTCCTTCAACTTCAAGAGTCACTAAAAGTACATTGATATATGTGTATATACTATAACCTCGTTTTCTAATTACAACATGACGCCTCTCATACAGATAACATTGATCGATTAATATTGGGCCATTTAGATAAAATTAAGTAAGATTCTACTGACCATTTTGCTGCCATGATGGCATGTGATTAAAAAAACTTATTGACAAGAAAAGGTTGCAGTTAGAAATAGAAATTATGCGCAAAATCCAAAGGGAACTATATAATAACGATTATGATGTGTTTTGGCCAAGTTTTATTTTGTGTAATATTGTTTACTTTAAATTTAGATACTAGGAATTTATATGTTTGCATTGGTTTAAACAGTAAATTACAATATTTTTAACATAATCTTTCACTTATAAATGTGCCATTGCCATTCAACACCACCATCCTTAACCAATTAATTGGTAGCTATCCATCTTATAACGACTCAAAACGGGGTGAAATTGACTAAG